GTTGAAGGCACATCAGCTAAAGAAGTGATGGATCTCATAATGATCACTCAATACTTTGACACCATCAAAGACCTTGGGAATTCTTCAAAGAACACCACAGTTTTCCTGCCGCATGGTCCAGGTCATGTCCGCGACATTGGCGACCAGATACGCAATGGGATGATGGAGGCAGCTGCTGGTGCACATGCCGATTCCTAAGTTATTACTTTCCTATGGAATCTCTTTCCCGTCGATTTTTAACTTCTTATACATGAGCAAAATAAAGTCAAGGACAAGTTTCTTAATGTCGTATAGCCGTATAGGACCTTAAATGAATGTTTTTTTGTATATCCTTCTAAACATATTATACGTAATACATGTCATAATATATGTTCAACATAATCATAATGTCAATATGCTTAATTGAGATGAAATTCAAACCTTCGATCTCCTCTTCTAGTGATGTTATCAACCTTCGATCTCCTCTTCTAGTGATGAAATTCAAAACTTCGATCTCCTCTTCTAGTGATGTTATCAACCTGAAATGAATGTTGGGGCCTTGAAAGAATGTCGAAAAGCCTTTTATTGCTGTTTTTGTCAATCTGTTGATATTTTGTTTTTGCATTTATTCCTTTTTCCCAACCATATATAGAAATAGATATTAAATCGGATGTGTCAATAGCGATATAGATCATTTTAGTACTAGAATAACGTGTTATACCTCATACAATAAAAATAGGTTATAATGTTATATTACGACAAACCAGACCACATAAAATGAGGCCCGTAAAGATTCAGAAAAGAGCAGCCCTGCTTTAAAAGTGTTACCTTTGTTAAATCGAAGAAAACATCGTCCTTACTCTCCTTGGTCGAATGGTTTTGTACATTTGTTTGCCACTTTGGTAGTTTGATTTAGAAGCATTTGTGCACTCTCTTTTCTAAGTTGGTAACTTATTAAAATTCCTATATTCAAATGAGTAATTTCCTTTAAATATAAAAGGCCTGTATAAATATACAATTATATTAGAATGCTTAGAACACTCAAGTAAACAATAATACATGTACTCCAAACTCGATCAAGTTATGAAGTCACCCTGAAAAATCACTTTTGAAAGTCGAAGTTATTGTTCATCGTCTTTTTCCGATGATTTCTTACCGCGTTAGGCGTCAGATCCCTCCTATGACAATACAATTTAAAAAATGAAACACGAATCCTATATGAAAACGGGTCCTACCATAATTATTTTTTTCCCCCTAAAATCATGTTTGAGTAATATTTAAGAAAAAACTCGATCTTGATTGTGCTACTCTTACACCGCTAAAAGGGATATTCATTTTTTATATTGACCATGTATGCAAGTCCTTCTTACTAAGTTAAAGATTAGGATAATGTAAGAAATATTAAAACAAATAAAAATTTTATTAACAAACTGGACGGTCTGGGGGCTGCTCCAGGAGCAAACCGTTACAGCGCACGAGTACATTGCAATCCCGACCCCCAACCGGGCACTGAAGCCATACTGCCATACTGGTGCACCCCTTATGCATTCAAAAATTGTACCTTAAAAGTATTTAATAAAATTATTACGGAGTACTTATCTGTCCCATTTGAAGATTCTTACGCGATTCAATAAAATTAATTTGACTGATTATAAAGTTAACTGATTCATGTCATTAATAATTTTTTTTGATAACTTAATTTAGTTATTCAAAAACTACATTAAAAGTTTTATATAGTTACAAAAAGACAAATGAAATTTGATAAAAGTGTTAAAGAAAAATCATCCTATTGATATTCAATTTAGTTTCAATACTTAAAATTTACATATTCAAAAATTACATTAAAATCTCTCCAAAGTTGCAAAGTTAAAATTAAATTTAATTAAGAATTAATATCCTAATTAAGTGGAAAAAGGTAATCCGTTGACCCAAAAATCAACTTTGCAACTGGTAGAAGGAATATTTGTTAATAAAAACTAGAGCAATAAGTTGGAAGGAAATTGAAATTTGTACATATCCAATTGCACTTTTTGTACACAATGGATCGAGCCACGATACAAACAATTAGGGAGTTTTTATGATTGCTTCTATGTCAAAAAAGTGATTTTTAAAGTGATTTTGGAAAAAGTACTTAATAGTAAAAGTAAATAGTGTTTGAGAAAAATTTGGTTCTGAAAAGGTAAAATTTGATAGTGTTTGGTAAAATAAGCGTTTTTTGTGTAATAGAAAAAGTGAAAAACATTTTAAAACATCATTCTACATGCTTCCAACTTTAGCTTTTAAATGTTTAATTTAAACAAAAACTAAAAAACTCATTTTAACTTTTTTTAAACTAAAAACTGAAAAACACTTTTTTTAATCTTTAGCAAACATTCCTTATTCTCGATGAAGCTATGTCGTAAACAACTTGTGTTTATGTCAAGAACTTTTCAAAAATGTGCAAGCAATTCACATAAGCAATTGCAATTTGCGAGTAGACATCAATTTTCTCACACATAAACATTGATTTGCGTATCCAGGTGTCCATGTGTATACCTTGCATAGATGCATGTATTGCAAGAATTAACCAAATGAGTTATATTTATAAGGCCTTAGTACATACTGCATACTCCTTATTTCGGCTTATTATTAATTATAGAAAAAATCAATGCTTGAACTCTTAAAGCGCTAGCTCCCTCACAAACATTATCTAGCCAAGACATTTTTCATCGGTACAAGATATGTTGTAAACAAAGAGATGACACCCCATCCCTGAGAGCCCCCAACACCGATCGGACGACACGATGGGAGGATGTAAATTGGACTATAATCACAATCTGATAGATAGAGAGTGGGGCTCTGTCCCCGGTACTTGCAGAGGCCCTATGCATTTTTCAGCATAGTAACCCCTTATCGCAGTTGCCGGGATTCGAACCCGAGACCTAACCCTTGTGGCACTCCCTTGCTACCAGTTGAGCTACGCCCACCGGTTTAAGATATGCTGTAAACAAAGGGTACAAGCTATGTTGAAGAGTGAATGGACTTTTGTGTTTATACGTACACACAGTTTTACATCTCCATTCACCTCTAATCAGGGGCGGAGCCAAGAGAGTCAGGGTGGTCATCCGACCCCGCTGAAAATCCGAGGGTATAGAGCTCTGAAATATCTTCGATTTGATATATTATGGCCCCCGTAACTCATTACGAGTAAAAAGTTATGACTTCTGGAAAATAAGCACTATCTAAACGTAAAATCAGCAAAATTTGATGCGTAATATTGTTTATTTTCCCAAGTTTTAAAAATAACATACAATTAACTCATTATCTACGTGACATCATTTAGAAACAGAGCCAAAACAATCTATCGTATTGCTTACGAATGCCTCTTTATTTAAACTACAAATGAAACATTCAACACGGACGTTGTCTAAAAACAATTTGCCATTTTTCATTTAGTACATAGTTCATTTTGGACTCCTTTGAGCCGTTTTTCTGGCTCCGCCACTGCCCCTAATTGTCTGTCTATATAAATGATTCGTTAAAAGATGAGAAAAATGTATAAAAATATTTGTGTGGAATGTAAAACTATTTGCAGACACATTTTTTTACACATCATATTTTACACTTGATTTTTGCCTTTGAATAGTCAATTTATAGACAAAAATGGTTTGTATGTGAAAGAACCACCAAAGTGTATACTCCGTATAAGATTTTTTTGTACTCTCTCCCTAACAAAAAAATCTCCCACTTTCCTTTTTCGTCCGTAACAAAAAAATCTTCTCACTTCTAAATCTTCCCATCATACTCTCAATAATTCTAAAAATAATACACTATTACAATTACTTTTTTGGATTTATCCTACATTATATCACATTATTCCATTATCTTCTCTAGGGGTGGTTCGGTACGGTATACCTTATATTTTTTCTCATACCTTTGCCATACCAAAACTTTCGGTATGCAAAATTTGCATACCTTTACCTTACCGAAGTTTCGGTATACCGCATTTCGGTATACCGAAGTTTCGGTTCGGTAACGGTACGGTATCGGTAAATTACCGTGCATGTCTCCCAATACAAAAAATTATCATAGACTAACGAAATATACTAAATCGTTATTACTAGCGACATATTAAATCTATTATTAAAATGTTACGAAATACAATTAATAATCTATTGATGTCAATTCAATATTGAACAATAATTATTATTAGTATGTTTAAGCAGTTCAACATACCACATATTAAAAAGTAACACATTCTCCTAAAATAACTTGAACAATATAGATATAATTAAATCAATAGTGATCTCTAACAAAAATAAATAAAACTATTCAAACAACATGGATATAAAATCATTTATAACTTTTTAAAAATTGAATAAGACTTTCAGACAAAGTTGTGTGTCTCGACTCGCTGAATCCCTATGTAGATACACTTGTCACATAAGTGTATCTATCTTCACTCGTCAGCTACTTAGCGGCCCAACCATCACGACTTGCAAGCTCTTGGAACAAGATGGACTTGTTTCTTGACATTTGTACATTACTCATTAGTTATTTAAGGTTAGCGTAGTAGAAGCCTATAAGGTTATAGTGGGTTTGAGAAATTGGACCTTTATTTTTGTATTTTTGTATTTGTAACCAACTTAAGTATTAATTTTGGGCTTCAAAATTGTAATGGATTTCAACAATATATTAGAATTAAAAGTAATTGTTGAGTAGGGAGACGGTACGGTATTATACCGGTATACCGCGGTATTTGAAAACATTTACCGTTACCGTACCGAAATAGACCGGTACGGTATGATACCGTACCGAAAATGACGGTATACCAATATTTCGGTATTTTCCGGTATTTTTCGGTACGGTAAGTGCGGTATACCGATATTTCGGTATTTTTGCCCACCCCTAATCTTCTCATTATACCTCAATAATTCATACATTCTTTCACTATTGTTAATCTAGCTACTTTTGAAATTGGGAAAAGTTTTGAAAATAAAGGGGTACATGGCTACACGCCCCACTAAAGAACGACTCATGGACTCAAGTTGAATAACTTCTTTGTCCGTGACTGTCTGGATGAGTATTTTGACCATCAGCATTTATTTAGTGAGAATTAGCAATGTCGGCCCTTCAGAAGTTCAGATCTCCCTTGGGAATTACAATACAAAGTAGATGACCCGAAAATCAGACGTTTCTTTCCACTCTTCAGCATGGATTCCCGGAACAGTGGAATCATTCGATCGTCTTCATTCTATCTGTAAGCGGCGCATCATATTATTGTTAGTATTATGTCACCATTCTAATTTCCGTGTATAAATGGTTGGGATTTTGGCTCTGAACTGAGGAAGACACCGAATAAAGTAAAAAAGACCCAGTAGCTATGATTTCTGTACTGGTTTCTAATGGACACCCTCTATTCTCAAGAAACTCAAAAGTCCTAAATAATGAAAAGTTTCCTTCTTTGGTTCATCTCAGTTCCATTTCTTGCTCTCAGAAACACAAACAGTTATTCAGGAACCCAACTCTCAAGTGCTCTAAGTCCGAAATTGCAAGCACAAAAGAAGAGAGGAATGGTGGCAGGGTAGAGATGATGGTCTTGTGTGGATTCGGGTATTGGATTCAAGGGTTCAGGTTATTCCCATGGTTGGCTTTGAACTTCCACATGGCTCATGGAATGAAGATGAACCCTTCAACATTGCAGTTTGTGCAGAACTCTGGTAACCTCCCTTTTGTTGCCAAGCCTCTCTATGGGATCTTGTCTGATGCTCTTTATATTGGTGGTGCTCACAGGTTGCCTTACATTTCAATCGGAGGCATGTTTACTTACTTTTTTAACATCAACTGATCAACACTTGCTTTTTAGCTGGAAGCTGACTGTTTATGTTTGCTTAATGCCATTGGTTTTCTTTTGTCCTATACACTCTATCTTTTGTTGTGGTTTCTTGATATCATTATTGCGACTTCAATGCTAAGAGGTACGTAGGGTATGTTTGGATCCTGAAAATGCTAGAGAAGGGAAAACGAACACCAAGGAAAGTTATTTTCTTTTGTTTGGCTTTATTTATGAAAAAAATGAAAAGAAAATTGGAACATGGTCATTTTATTTTTATTGAGCTTTTAAAGCAATGGATGATTTACTATGGTTTATATGACAGTAATGATTAATTAAACAAATATCCAAAGTATGTTATTGGTTTGAATGTATCTTTCCCTTTCCTCCAAATTTTCTTCCATCAAAATTCACTCCATATTTTCTTTTCCTCACGGACTACTATTTTCCGGGCTCCAAACAGGCCGCAAGGGTCACCAATTCAGTGATGATATGGAAATTAGATGAGACAGTGCAGAATTTCAAACTTGTTGTAGTAGACTAGTATATAACACACTATACCGAAATTTTGTAAAAGCGCTGAAAACTTGATGTCTTGCTGCTATTAATTAATCACTTATTCATCTGCTACTATTTATATGGTAGATATTTGACCGGTCATTGGATGATATACATCTCAGATTTTGTCAATTTATTACCACAGCTTTCCTCCAGGCATTGGCTTGGGGTCAACTGGCACTGGTTTCAGCTGCAAGTGAAGGATTTGTTGGTCTTATAGCGTGTGTTCTCCTAAGCAACCTTGGAGCTTCCATTACAGAAGTTGCCAAGGATGCCCTAGTGGCAGAATATGGTCAGCAAAACAGAATTCCTGGTCTTCAGTCTTATGCATTTATGGCATCTGCTGCCGGTGGGATTCTTGCAAACTCACTAGGAGGATATATCTTACTGAAAACAAAGCAACCTAAACTCATGTTTCTTTTCTTTTCTGCTTTACTCGCCGTCCAATTGGTTTTGTCTTTGGCGGTAAGGGAGAAAACTCTTGGTTTGCCTCAACCATTAAAATATGCGCCTGGTTTGACAATAAGAGAACAATCAATCGCCAGAAGTATCAAAAAACAATATCTTGACCTCATGGTTTGTATTAGAGAAGAAAGGATATATCACCCCCTGATGTGGTTTGTGGCATCAACTTTGATTGTCCCGGTTCTATCAGGCTCTGTCTTCTGCTACCAAACCCAGTGTCTTAATCTTAATCCTTCAACCATTGGGATGTCAAAAGTTACTGGCCAGTTGGTGCTTCTTTCTATTACTGTCCTCTATGATAGAGTATGGAAAGATACTCCAATAAAAAAATTAAGCAGCATTATTCAAATCCTATATGCTGTTTCACTTCTTCTTGATTTCATGCTCGTGAAACAAATTAATCTCAAAATGGGTATTTCCAGTGAAGCTTTTGTGCTCTGCTTTTCGGGAATTGCAGAGGTCATAGCCACATTCAAGCTTTTGCCATTTTCTATTCTTTTTGCAAGATTAGCACCATTGGGTTGTGAAGGGTCACTATTGTCTTTCTTAGCATCAGCTTTCTATTTCTCCTCAATAGTTAGTGGGTATTTGGGTGTTGGATTGGCGTCTTTTCTTGGGATAACATCTGGCGATTACTCAAGCCTTCCTGTTGGGATAATAATCCAGTTTATGGCGGCATTAGTGCCCCTTGGTCTGCTTAACTTTTTGCCAAATTCACAGTCTTCAACCGAAAAGGAAAGATAGAGGTAGGGATACAAGGACAAGAAGAAATGGGAGAGGTTAAAGAGACGATATGCCAATCTGGTTTGCAGAGATAAGTTCTATTATTAATACAGTCTAGTTTATTCATTGTCCGTTCTTTTTTAGATGAGAAGATACACTCCAAAGTCCATACCTTTTTTTCAAGATAGAAAGAATAGAAAATTCCTTAAATAGGACTAAAACATACACAAAGTGCACAAAAAGAATCACCGTTATCTTCTTCCTAAAATAGAATTCACTCACTCCTAATTGGGGAAGTTTTATACTTGTAATAAGATCAAAGAAGCCCCTTTTTGGGAATAAAACATAATTAGCCCTTTTTATGCACTTTATCTAAGTTTTAGTCCTATTTACAGCCTTTTGTTTAGAATGAAATATTGAAGGTGCTGTTTTTTTGCAACCATACATGTTTTGTACTTTTGTCGTGTAAAAATTCCTCCAAATTATAGCTTGATAAGAACCTTCTTTGATTTATAAAATAATGATCATCAAAATATGACAGTTATAATTTTTCATTTCCTTTCAAGATCAGTTGAAAGAAACTGTTTTACTCTTATTCATTTTTTTGGGTGGAAAACAGCAAGTTTGTTAATGTTCAAAAGCAGGTACAAGATGTAGGGGGCATAAACTAAGGCATATAGCCAACCCCTTTAAAGAGGCATACCCCAAAGTATGCAAAGATTTTAATTTTTAACCATCGGGTAGAGGGGGGGCACCTAATACCAAAAAAAATTAGGGCTTTGAATCTTATCCATCACAGGATGTCCTCATGTCAGAGGCTTCAACCATAGAGAATGAAGTGAAGATTTAAATTAAGTGATTATTACTAACAAACAGTGGGAAAGTAGTATAATAATCGGAGGATTAGGTGATGAAACCAAAAGTTGAAACAAACTGGATATGATTTTGAAAGGAAAAAAAAACTCTCTAAATAAACTACAAAATTTCTGATCAATCATCTGGGAAAAGTTCTTCCTTGAGTGAAGGGGCAATCCATTGGATTTGGATATATGTCATCTCCCATAGATCATCATCTTCTTTCTGAACAAGAATCTGACTTTCCTTCATCGCGAGAACCATTTTCTTTAGTAGTTCTGGGATAGTTTCCACCAATTTTGATTCCCCATACATTCCCAAATCAGCCTTCATGCATGTATCCATTCTCCTCAAGATCCCCATCCAAAAACCCCTCATATCAGCACACTCCGATATTTGTTTCAAGTACATCAGGTAAACATCTGTCAACACCTCCATTGATAGCTTCAGAGTCCCTTCCATTCCCCGGGTTTCCCTCTCTGCGTTCTCCCTCTTCGAATACTCCAACATCTTTTCATGCAAGTCATCAACCATAGAGAACAGAACAAGCTTAATGCAACTGACGATGATGGGCGGGGTAAAGCATAGCTCTTCTGCTAACGCAAAACTCTTCTGCAGAGATATGATGGAGTGGTTTCTGATCTCTTCTCTTCTTGATAAGCTTGTCTTTCTGAATGCTTCCCCTAGCTTGATGAAACAAGTGGTTGTGAAGTTGGGAGAGGAAGACATAGCTTTGTCATCATTATCTGGATCACCATTTCCTCCACTTCTGCTCCAATTTACCAGCAAAGTGACTGTATTTGTCATCAAGTCCATGATTTTGAGGTTCTTTTCCAAGGAACTGTTCTTTAGTGCAACAAATCCAAATGCTGCTTCTATGCAGAAAGGGTAGTTTGACCTTGAGATGTTGTGGGACCCGTCCGACATCAGATTGATGATTGCCTCGACTTTCTGCTCATACATTTCCGGATGTCTGCCTGAGACAGACAACAAATGTAGGACGGATTTCCACCCCATAAGTGTTTGTAAATTTGCTGCGTATTCATTTAAGATTGTGGTTACTGATTGTACTATGAACTCTGAGCATGTGTCTAGGATTTCCTTATCTAATTTCAACATGAGATTTATGGACTTGAAGATTAGTTCCTCAGGGGCTTTGTCTTCTTGGGGTGAGGACAGAAGTTTGAGGCAGATCTTCATTAAGGCTAACATTGCCTTTTCTGCAAAGGGGATTGGTGAAAACAGGGGGAATTGTGCAACATCTAGTAAATATTCATGGTAATGAGGCCAAAATGTGGCAATTCTATGGATGTTTGAAGAAGATATGGCGGCGATCAAATCCCAACAAAACCCAACGGTTTCTTCCTCCTCAATTGCAGTACTAAATTTCTGGCCTTTTCCCGCTGCAGAAAAAATGAGCGAACGCCCTAGACTTTGAACGGTCTCTTCGGGCAGAGATGAACTTGTGTTGAAAATGTTTCCTATTCGGCACTGATTGATAATCTTTATGTTGTTTTCGAACTCACTCACTCCGAGGTTCAGAGACTCTTCCACATTTTCCATGGATAAAAACTGTGAGAATCTTCCCATTAGACCACTGGATGCTCTTGAACCGGACCTCTCATGTCTTGACCTGTCAGAGGAGGGGGTTTCTGGTTCAACGAAAACAGATTGTGGGAGAAGTTTTAGCCTCTTGAGTTTCAATAGGCAATCCACTATGGTCCTCCAACCTCCTCTGATGAAGTTCTTGAAACTGTTTGCAACTGTGAAAACCGCTAGGGTGGCCATCCTCGGCTTCATATCATTGCTGAAAGTGTACAGTGTTTCTTCTGACGATGCATAAGGGTTTAAGAGTGTGGTAAATTTGCAGAAAGTGCAGACGAGCTCGTCCAGTGTGTCCTCTAACCCGTACTGACATATTCTAGCTATGGAGAATAGTGCTTCAATGCATTCATGGAGGACTTCTTCTACGTCGCCCTGTTCGAAAATTGCTGCTAAGGTGGCCACTGTGGGGCCCGCAATGGAAGCAAAGAGATCTCTTCCCAGACGACGGTCGAAATCGCACATTATGTATGGATTCATGCTCTTTGATCTGTTTATCAGCTGAACCCATTGGTTCGGATTCATTTCAGGCATGGAATAGGAAGATTCAAAGACGATGGCCTTTGTTGAAATGGAATGGAAAAGCTCGGAGAGGTATTCTCTGGGAAGATCTTGACCGGCATTGATAGCTCTGTTGTTCTTTATGAATTCATCCTCTGTCATCTTCTTTTTCACCTGAGGATTATGTTGATCAGTGTTGAGCATGATGACAGAATAACAGAGGACCAGAACAGCATCTTTCCCGTAAAAGAATTCTGACGATTGTTGATCGTAAAACCTCTCAGCAAATGCTTCCAGCACTCTCTGAATCTTCTGTGATTCTCCTGGCAACCTGAATGATTCCAAGAAGGTTCTCAAAGCATTGTCCAGAACCATTCCAGTGAACTCGAACGTGTCAGTGAACTCCTTGAGGACTTTAAGGTGGAAGTCATCAGGATCTCCTAGAAACTCTCCAATTAAAACCTTGTCCAGTTTCGGGGTGTACCGGAAAAATGCAGCATAGGCTTTTGGGTCGGGTGGATCTGACACCAGCCCCGAATATTTCAGGTAATCCAAACCCTTCTTGTCATCGCGATTGAAATGATCGCCAGCTATCAATATCTTCCTTTTTTGAGCCTTCCTAACCCGAACAGAATTAATCCAGGAATCTACTAAGCCTAGATCCTTTTCTTCCTCCCAAAAAGGTATGCACTCCATGATCTCAACCGGATATGGCCCGGAAGGAGTGGGATCGTCTTCTTTGTCAATGTTCTCTGCAATGTTGTGGATGACGGTTATCAGGCCCTCAAAGGCTTGGAGTTGCAAACTAGTGAGAGCAGGACCTGAAGGGTATGCATGCTTGCAGAGGAGCTTTCCAGTGTCCTCAAACACATTTCTGAAAGTCGGGTCGCAATCGTAATTCACATAAGCTTCCACTACAAATGTGGGCTGCCTGCAAAAATTTACCAGCCCTTCTACAGCCACTTCTTGGAGGGCTACAGAGTTGGCAATGCTCGCCGCTTTAAACAGCACAAATGAGAAGAATGCTTCCAGTTGAAGGCGCATCGACCTGAGAAGTGGATTCATTAATTAATAAAGCTGCGTTTGGCCATCAAAGAAAAAAAAATCACTCGTGGATCAACTCTTCTTAAATTCCAAAGTATAAAAATTCTTCAAATATTACTAGTAATAATTAACTATCAATAGGATATCATTCATTTTAATATCAACATGAAACTGAGCAATTGACAGTTAGTAGTTGAATAGATGACATTTATGTCTTCAAATTTAAAATTAACATTTTTTCCCCTATGCATACTCAATTTCTTATATTTAATAAAAACCCATCTAAAATCTCTAATAGTGTAATCTTAATAGTACACCACCGTTCTTTATTCTCTTATCTTGTGTTGTATTAAAATGTATGAAAAGGAAAGAACAGGTAGTTTAAGGAAGGACGGAAAAGAAAATAATGAAATTATAAAGAGGTGGCAGAGGAAGTAGAATACAAATATAAGTACCTAAGTATATAATGATTAAACATCATATCTATTTAAAAATCATGCAATTAAGAAGAAAAACTGGTAGCAGAAACTTTTGAACATTGTTTTCTATCATCAAATGTAAATTCATGGTATGTTTTTTTTCCCAGATGAACCTAAGTTGAACTGGGTTTAATTTTAGGTTCACTTTGTTTTATATTTTGTAACAAGAACCCAGTTTTGAAGTGAACCTACATTACCTTGGAATTTGGAAATGATTGAGAAATGAATGGAGTAATAATGTATATCGACATTATATATCACAGATTAAAGCTCCTTTATCTAGGAAGTTAGTTTTCAAGGTAATGTTTTCTGACTTTCTTGTGGGCTGTTTTGTTTTGTAATGGATTAGTGGATTGTCATGAAATCATTAGACTTTTGTCGGAAATGGCTTCTAGTTTCCAGCAGGGAGGCACTTTTTGAAGAAGCTTTACTATGGAAAACATTTTCCTAAGTTGTTTTATTGAAGACAATAAGCATCCTAAAATGCGGCAACCCACTCACCTAGGAAGGAAGTGATAGAGATTCAAAACGATGCTGCAAATCATGGATAGAACGAGTGGCTTGGAGCAGGAGCCGTAATGAACCAAATGGTGAAATAGGTCATCTTGGATCATCCGCATCATCTTCGGGTGCATCCCGATGCTATCACCGCTCAACTCGATTGCTGAATTGATCAAAAGGAGCGAGAAGAGCTGAATGCTCTCGTCTGGTGTTTGGTAAGGCACCCCGTCTGGCTCCATCCCTTCCATCACATTCAGTAGGGAGCAGAGGAAATGGAAGATGTCGACAGCCGCTCTGATCCCGTACCCACCCGAGTCATCCATGACAGTGTCCTCCGAGTCGGACTCAGAGTTTTCCCACTCCGAGGGCTCCACTTCCGGGAGACGGGAGTAGACTGTGTAGATGAGCTCGTGCATTGTGAATCTGGCGCTGCGTTGGAGCAAATCCCCGCCTCGACCTGCCGATTGTTGCACCACCTGAAAGCACGAGTTCACAACAGTGCATACCGCTTGATCCGTTAGCCATATGGATGCTGGGTGAGCCATTATTGCTCCTAGCACCTGAGAGATCAACCAACCAATGTGCAAACAAAGTTAAATAAATTACTACTTAGTCATAATGAACCTGGGAGTATGACATGAATATGTTTATATGATCGCAAATTCACTCATAATGCCATAATGGCCTCATTGAATAATACTCTAATAAAAACAACGACGAAATGTATATGTTAATCTTTTAATCTTACAAAGATCTCTTAGACCTGCAATATCTTCATCATGATTGCATCTACTGAAGCTGGATCGGTCTTCTCCAGCCGGCAGCTCGTGACGGCAGCGACAGCTGAATTTATAGCTTCTCTAGCGCCAGGGGTTCTATGGTCAAAGATTTCAAGTTTGAGAATCTTGAAGACAGAGGAGAGCGCTACCCCGGTGGCAGTGGCGGGGACGTCGCCGCTTTGGATGACGTCGAGAAACGGCAATAGGTACAAGGAGGGATCCAGGTTGCACCATTCTTGTTGGGGATTGAAGATGAGGGCGCGGAGAGATTTGAGGGACTGGGAGATATGGGTGTCATAACGTTCCTCCGGCGAGAAGAAATGTGAGTTTGTCTCTGGGGAGCGGCGGATCACGGCGAGAACCGCTCCAACTTCTGTGTTTAGCATGCAAGAGACTCCAAGCTCTTTTCTTTTTTGTTTCGCCATGTTCTTCTTTTCTTCGTTAACCATTTATTTAGCTCCTGTACAGTTATGGCTAACTAACGTGATTAGCATTTCATGGGCATTTACGCTGCCCACAAATGGTAGAGAAAACAGTAAAGTGAGATATATACTCCCTGCCTTCAAATTAATTGAATTGCAATTTTACTAATAAAATTAGTCACGATTATTGTTTTTGTATTCTCTTATTTTAATTATGGGAAAATGGTCAGATGAGCCCTCAAACTTACATAAAAAGGTCAAATAAGCCCTAATATAGAAGGTTCTGTCCGACCGTCACCATTGGGAGCGGTTCCTGGTGGAATTTTTTGATGAAATATTTTAATCATCTTATTCATTAAGTCTAGTTTACTAATACCAAATTTCAGCTAAAACTTCGATCGGGAAGGCATTAAAATGAATTCTTGAAGATAATTGCGCAGTAAAAAGCGCAGTTATCTCCAAGAATTCATTTGAATGCCTTTCCGATTGAAGTTTTAGCCAAAATTTGGTATGAGTAAACTAGACTTGACGAATAAGATGCTAAAAAAAATCATAAAAATATTTCACCGGGAATTGCCCCAAATGGTGACGACCAAACAGAGTCTTTTATATAAGGGCTTATTTTACCTCTTCTTGTAAGTTTGAGGGCCTATCTAACCTTTTTCCCTTTAATTATCCATATCTGTAATATTTGGATTTGAGTCCTAAGCATTAATAGAATTTTTTGTGCCTTTTATAAATAGTAGTTAACCGACTCATACGTTGTACACATAACGAATAGATTAAATTTGTGCATAAAACAATTTAATTGATGAGTAATGTGTATACACTCAATTTGTGCATGAAACAATTTAGTTGATGAGTAATGTGTATATACTCTCCGTATTTAAAATTTGTTAAAACTCTCCGTATTTAAAATTTGTTAAACTTTTCTATTTTGGATGTATTTAAAAGTTTGCTACACTTTCTCTTTTTGGTAAGTTTTTTCTTTAAAAATAATTAATCACCTTAATTTTCCCTACTTCTTATCTTCGTATTCCTACTTTTCACTCTTTCTCCAACTTTTTCTACACTATTCATTATCACTACTATTTTTCCCTTAAATATTGTGTCAAGAACTAATGTAGTTATCTTTTAAATACGAAGGAAGTAGCTTTTATATAAGATTGTTTTAAAAACACAAATATGTTGATTGTAATTAAGAGATACACTAATTAATACTACCTCCGTCCCATTTTATGTGTTTCATTTGGTTTTGACACAATTTTTAATAAAGTAGTTGAAACGATAAAAGTTGTGGTTGAGATTTGAGTATAATAAAGTGAAATGTTGTGAAACCCATATTTCTTTCCAAAAAGGAAAATGCGACATTGATTTTGGAATAATCCAAAAAGAAAAGTAAGACATGTAAAGTTAGGGATGGGTTAGGCTGGTTCGGCCCGACCCAGTACCCGGCCCAGCTGACCGGGATTGGAGGCCTAAACTAGGGTTTTAAGGGCGGGCTACGGGATGCTTATTTGGTGGACCGGCCCGACCCGTTCGGGATCGGTACGGGCCCCTTTTTCGCATTGATTGGCTGCTAGGCGGGTGGGGCTAGGTGGTTTGGGGGGGTTTGGGTGGGGTGGGGTAGGGGAAGAGGTAGGAATAAATAAGAAAAACCAATTTAAAAAAAAAAAAAAACTAGACCCGACCCGGGCCTGGCCAGGTCCCGGTACCGGGCCTTCATCCCCAAACCCCAGTCCCGCCCAAATCCCGACCCGGTCCCGGTCCATGCCTAGGTAAAATGGGACGTAAGGAGTACTTATGATGGAGTATGTTGTCATATATCTAGGGGTATATAAGATCGTCTAAGATGCTCATGTTATTTACCCAACGGGCCAAGGCCTGCATTGAGGTCGAGTCCTTATTATAAGCCTAGCTCTGCGATGGCGGCCTCATTCCGCTTTGGGCGAGATCGAGCCTCATAGTTATCAGTAAAGATTTCACATTTGACGCTGTCAGATGAGGCTGAACATACTCGATTAGCTCCGTGTCGGTTATTGTTTCGTACTTAGCCATTTTGCAGGCATTCCAAACATGCGCATGTCAAGGGCTTATATCACAGCCGTTGATGTCACACACCCAAACCCTGAAGGGCTTACAATTAGTGACATCCCAGGGCAGTTTCCCAGAGCTAACGTCACCCCATGTCAATATAACATCAGTGAACATGATCCCTCTTAATAAGTATTCAATGGGCCGGTCTAGTGTGACTTTCATTTGGGTGTGTGACATCAGAGCTTAAAACTCGAACCTTGTACTTTTCCTTAAAAATAGCCACCTTTCCCTTTGGGAAAGGCCAAAAGGGGTCAAATTTCTCATGGTAGAGTTACTCTGCCAAATTTATTATACAACTCTCGCATTCTAGATTTAATTTGCTCCAACTTATCTCTAAATAATTATTACCCCAGGTTTCATAAACAAATCAACTTCATCCATCTCTTAAAACTCTTTCATCTTTGACTTTCTTGGTCGATGATTGTAAACTTTGACCATTGCTTTGGAGTAATATATTCTATGAAAATAATAAGTTTTATACTTTTGTAACAACAATTTTAGCGAAGACCATATGTACTTGTCTTTCATATTATTTGTATGCAAAAACTTAATATCAATGACCACTTAAGTAAAAAATAACCAAGTTTTCTCAGCTTAAATCTCACACTTGCATTTTCTGGACATCCCCACTAAAACTTCCTTATCTATTTTAGGAAATAATTAACAACTTTAAATGAAAATTTTAATCTTTAAATATTAAAAATAATACACTTATAACATCACAATTATCATCCATGACCTTATTATATTATATAATCATCAAAAATATATCTGAAAATATACTCGAATTACCTTATTTAGTTAGTATCTAAATACTCAGATCATTTTTCAATGAGAAGCTTAAACCAGGACGGGTGTAGTAGCATACAGTAATAATTATGATAACTATTCTTTACACATTTTAAACTACAACAAATCCATCTCTAGAGAAGGAGTTTATTGAATATGAAATTTATGTTTTATCAATTTTGATTGCATATGCTCAGTGGCGTATCCAGAAAAATACGCCAGCGGGGGCGAATTTAACCTTAGATTAAGAAAAAAATTACAAAAAAAAAATCAGACTAATCAGATTAAGAAAAAATATTGTAAAACCAATTATAAATAACAAAATATTCTCTTATAAAAACATTATGATATCTTTTTTATTTAAATTTTACTTTGTTAGAAATAATTTTATCACAAGGAATCTGTAATTTGCGCAAAATTATGCTAGTATATAGATGAGTCAACTAAGGGAAGGAGGAGCATCTAGTTAGAATTAATTTAAATTTAAAATTCACAAGTATATTAAAAAAGTAGTTTATATTATGTACAAAATCGGTTCATAGGTGAAACTAGAATTGTAATTATATTGATGTAGTTTAGATTTTTCCAAGAAGAAAAAAGTAAAAGAACATAAAACCATTTAGAATTTGCTTAAGGCTTCCGGCAAAAGAATTAAAAAAATAACTCTTGTCAAAAGGAATCGAGAACTCCGGACCTCATCTTAGACACACCACTTACCCCGCAACTAATTCCACTAGACAACGAGCGCGTTTTGTCAAATATCTCGTATTTATTGTATAAGACCTCTTTATTTAGAAAGAAAATATATATACAACTTTAAATTGGATATATATATATATATATATATATATATATATATATATATATATATATATAAGGGTTGGGTGGGGTTGAGTGGGGGCAGCTGCCCCCTGCCCCCACCCTAGATACGCCCCTACATATGCTATATAGTTACCTCCTGAAATAAAGCTTGTCTCTCCTTCCACTAAATTGTTTTCCTCTCCCGTTTTTAGAAATGAGCTAAAAACATACGGAGTATGTTAATAAAAAATTCAATTGTTTCATTTGATCGACTAAATAAAGTATCCCCTTGATCTTTTTTAGACGACATATGAAACGATCAATCACAATATAAAACTGCAAAATGGTAAAATTTATTACAGAATATATTAAGAATGTATTTTCGTCTCTAAAATTAAACAAAAGACACTTTTCTCAAAATATATAAAGGATGGTTGTGGGAGAGCAATGAATATCAGAATATATATGAGATCTGTAGTTCCACATGCAGTATGTTTTCTTTACCAAATTAACCCCAACCCTATATCATGCCAAGCTTCTTATATATTGCAAAACTTCATGATATAGTATTAATCTTAGAGAGAAGTGAGTAATTGATATTTCTTAGTGACTTCCTGGCACATGGAACACTTTCGGGATGAAGCACTGCAGGTCTCATGGGATGTCCTGTTTGTATGAAAACTGCAAACCGTCTTACTTTGATTGTGACCGACGGTTTCTCCCACCGAAACATTCATATAGAAAGGATAAAAAGTCATTCATCAAGGGTCGCATTGAGCGTGATCCTCCGTCTCCGAGGCTGACAGGATGTGATATTTATGATCGTGTTCGAAACATCTCTTCTGCCATGGATGAACCACTCGACTATCCAGAGGGTTACTTGACCCATCATAAGTGGACGAAAGAAGTATTTTTTGGGAATTGTCATATTCGAAAGATCTTCTCATAAGGCATAATTTGGATGTCATGCATATTGAAAAAATGTTTTTGACAATGTTGTTAACACGAACATGAATTTCAAGGGAAAAACCAAATATGGTCTATCATCATGAAAGGATGTTGATGAAACGGTTAGCAACACAAAGGGGGGGGGGGTGAATTGTGTGTGTGTGGAACCGTGCCAGTTTTTTGCCAAGTTATAGTGTGGGGTAAGGGGAATTGGGAAATAGTAAAGTCCACAAGGATTTAACGAGGAAAAATTCCTTGGCTCAAAGGGATTAAAAAAACTCGACCTCCCTCGGACGAATTTTAACAACTTCACTAAAAAGTCTTTGAATGATTACAAGGGAAACTCTCCTAGTCTACCCTTGAGCCACCCCAACTCTATCCTCTCTAGGAAGAGTTATGCTTCTCTACCTTACGGGTAGAGAGTCTCTCAGCTTTACAACAAAGCTCTCACAACACACGTTACCCAACCCGAGGAAGCTACACTTAGCTCGTCCTCAATAACCAATTACAATATAAGAAGGGAATAAGAACTCTGTCTA